TTAGCAAGAACCGCCACATCCTCAGCCGGCTAATCCAGTGTGTGAAGTTTTGCGGAGTGTTTGAGTTAGCTTTGCGAGGCAAAGATGAAACTGAGGGCTCCACCAACCCTGGTAAGCCAACACTTTTGAGATCAGTCAATAAATGCTTCTGGTATTGACTTATATGCTGCCCCTGTCTTCATGTTGTTGCTGGACATATCTTTTTTAAAATGTGTGTAGGTCACCTAAATCATCAGAAAAATTGCCCCCCCCTGAGAATTTTTTCAGGAGCCGCCACTGGTTTTGTGTAACTGCAGGGAGAGAATGAAGGACCAGGTTTAGGATTAATTAAGACACTTCCTCTTGCCACAGGAAGCTGAACCTCAACACAGGGCATCCCTTTAAGGTCACAATTGGTTGTGTGCAAGGACGGTTAGCTAGCTCAATCGCAGTCAACGGGCCTTGTATTGGTTATGTGAGGGCTGTAGGTAATGCTTTTCTATGGAAGAAAGGACTTGTTCTCTGTGGGACCAAGTTTTCACTGTGAAGTTCATTTTACATGGTCAGGTATAGGCTTGCCTTTATCTTAAGCATCTGTTGAATGATCCCATATGTCAGGGGTACTTAACTACTATTTGAGAAGGTTCAGTGACACAAATTTCCTAAGTGGCAAAGGTCCGGATGGATATCGTCCTTTATCGGCACTGTTGTACAGCGTAGTAACAAACATAGTCGTCTACGACTTAGGAAACATGTTGTTATATAAAATGTACATTAAATACATTAAATGAGACTATGAATTTGAATTAATTACAACTTCTTTCGAATGTAAACATGCAACATTGCTGAAGAAAAAAAGTGGTTGCATAATTGTCTGTCCAAAAAGTGCACTGTGAACCATTGTACATGGGCCTTGAATTAAAAAATGTAATTAAAATAAAGTGCATGTTTTCTGGAGAACAAAGGAGAGTTTAACAAAAAGAATAATCTGAATGCACAGAACGTCACTGTGGGCCATGCAATATTCATGTATAAGTCCCACTGGGCCTTGCCCTGCATTAATGAGAGAAATTACAATGCTTTGAACTTTGGCACAAATGGTGTGAGAGCAACTTTGAAACACTGGTGCAGGTGTTCATTGGTGAGCCTGGTGCGGTATTTGTTTTTAATCAAGTTCATTGTGGATAAGGCTGATTCACAGCTGTATGTGGAGCCAAACATGGTCAGGATGTCTAGTGCCAGTTTCTTGAGAACAAGGACACCATCTTTCCCCAGAAAGTGACAGGTTCACAATCACCAGCCTGCTCCTTCAAAGCCACATTTTCTTGCAGCTCAATCAACTCCATTTGCAGTGATGCAACATCTACCCATCTGAAGATCTGTTTTGCTTCTTCTGACAACTTTCTCACATTTGTGACCAAGAAGGGGTTCTGGATGAGCAGCAGCAGTTCTCTTCCAACAGTGAAGTCATCAAAGCGAGCCTTGAAGTTATCCATCAGCTTCTGGATGAAATCAACACGGTTGGGAACATTTTTGTCTCCCTAAGTTCGCACCAGAAGATTGGGGAAGTGGACAAGTTCTCCCTGGAGATCACTCTTGAAAAGCTCAAATTTCTTTATTACGGTGTGATGTAATGTCTGTCAAAAATGCAACTGTTTCCATCTTCTCATCTTCAAAAAAACTCAGAAAACTGAGTTGCCTTGTCACTCTTTTGCTCTGATAAGAAAGCTTTGATTTCCTCCTGAATAGCCCAAATGTGTTCCAAAACCCTGCCTTTGCTGAGCCATCTGACATTGTTTTGCAGTAGTAAGTCATCAAAACTGGCATTGGCCTCTGTCAGAATGCCTCGTAGCAGGCGGTGTTTTAGGGATGATGTTGCTCTCAAAAAGTTGATCAGTTTCATCATCGTTGTCATGACATTAGAATACTCTTTTCCCAGACTGTCACACAGGACAGATTGATGGATGACGCAGTGATATGCTGTCAGGTCAGGGTGGTCCTCTTTCAAATGTGCAACAAGTCCCCTCCCTCTTCCTATCATGGCTGGAGCTCCATCTGTGGTGATGGAGACCACTGACTTCAGATCTATCCCCCTTTTTGTCAGCATGCCTTTGATGTCGTCATGGATATCATCTGCCCGTGTGCGTGCTTCTAGATTTGTTAAGCCCAACAGCTCCTCACAGAATTCCTTCATATCAACTCCAGGCTCAACCCAACTCTAACCCTGACGCTCACTTCATCTCCACATCTTGGCTCAACCCTAACCATAACCTTAACACTAACTTCTTGTCCACATCCCAGCTCAACCCTAACTCCAAGAGACAAGATGTGGAGGGCTATGGTTCGGGTTGAGTCGGGATGTGGACATGAAGCTAGGGTAAGGGTTGAGTTTAGAGTTTGTTTGTCTGCCTGCCTGCCTGCCTGCCTTTGAGTTTATATGTCTGTCTGTTTGTGTCTTTAACCAATTTACCCATTGTAGCTCTATCACCAACTTTTTGGCCTAGATAATGGAGGGAAATAGAGGAGGGAGAGAGAGAAATAGTATAGAGGAGGGAGATAGAATGGAGGGGAGGAGGAGGGAGAGTGAGGGGGGAGAGCGAGGGAGAGGGTGAAAGAGATAGAGGGAGAAAGACAAGAGAGAGAGTAGGGTGTCATGTCTGTGATGCCTTTCTCAGTCCATTTTGTGATGCTATTCTTCCCCCATTGACTGCAATTTATTGATATACGCTTCAACCCGGTGACACTCATCTTTTCCTATTGACATAAGAATCAACACTGTGATACTCATATTTTCCCATTGACTGCATTTGACATATGATTGAATTGGTTGAAGCTTATCTTTTCCCATTGACTGCAATGTATTGGCATAAACGTCAACCCTGTGACACTCATCTTTTCCCATTGACTGCAATGTACTGAGAAAAACATCAACCCCATGACACTCATCTTTTCCCATTGACTGCAATGTATTCAGAAAATCAGCTGCTGTGACATTTTACTTTTTTGCACAAACGTGCCAGGATTACGTTTTCAGGATAATAATGGGTGGTTCAGCCTATTTGGGCCCAATATAAATAATAATGTATGCCACTTAGCAGACACTTTTATCCAGAGCGACTGAGTCTTAATGGCGCCATTTGAGTAGAAGCAGCGGTGTACGCCATATACCCACTTCTTTTTCAGTGGGCATTGCATATACTCACTTCTTAATCCCCACGATGTGTATCAAAGTAGTGTAGTGGAGGCATACGCCATATCAATTAGTAAGGCTGATAGAACAGATCAGAATGTTTAGATTCAAATGTTAAACTATTATTTCTTCACATCATAGGCACAGCAATGAGCACAAGGTGGTAGGCCAATGCAAATGTTCAAAAATGTGATATTTTCAAAGTACTAGGACAGGGCCAAGAAAAACAACAATACTGTCTGGTGGTCTTTGTGCACTGTAACCAGCCTAGAGGGGGTCAGAAACACATAAGGAGATGCTATAGATATGGTTAAGTAATGTTTCTTAATGCTCATCCCCCCCCCTTTTAAAAACACCTAAGCATAATGGGATGTTAATTGCTTAATTAACTCAGGAACCACACGTGTGGAAGCACCAGGTTTCAATATACTTTGTATCCCTCATTAACTAAAGTCTTGCCATTATTTTAGCAGTTACCTGTAGTCAACTTGCGGTTTAAACTGTATTTCTCACACCTCTGCGAGTTGATTGATGAGTCCACGTGACATATTTTATACAGCGCTCTATGGAGTGTAATTAATGGTGTTAATAGCCAAGGTCAGTGTGGATGGCTGATTGATCACGTCACACAGGCCCAACATGCTGATCAGATGACACATTGATTTAGAGCTCAGCTCATCTACCAGAGGCCCTGGCCATCCATCTACCCATTAGCCAGCATCTCTTGCATGGGGATTGGTTCTCCCGCTCCAATCCAGAGGCCCATGGAAATTTGTCTCATTTGGCCTCAGTATGACCATCAAGAAGCAGACCTCATGTAGCCTACCTGGCTCTTTCAAAACCATTTCCTTATAAGAAATCAGACGAGACAGGTCAGACTACTTTCAATGAATAGCTTAACTGATGAGCAGACCAATGAGTGTTGCTCCCTGACCAACTGATTTTAATTGTTTAGAAGCCCAGTAAGGCCAAAGGTAAGTTTGAACTTAAACCTGACCATCCTCACTAGGGGACAAGATTTACCCAACGTGTGAAAACGCCAAACGCGTTTGAACATAAACACTCAAACGATTAAACAAAATTCATTAAAATGGCATTAAAAGTGAGCGATCAGCTTAGTGAACATGGGTTTGTGCCACAGGAGAAAAGGGTGGAGCTGGCTGGAGCACTATAAAAGGCCTTTAAACGACAGGAAGCTTCATGGATTCTAGTTCATTACTATTGAACAGCAGGGGAGAGCTCAGTTATGGACACTACTTTTACAGAATGGAAATTTACATTTTAGTCATTTAGCAGACGCTCTTATCCAGAGCGACTTACAGTTAGTGATGAAATGTATGCAGGTAATGGTTACATAGCCTATAATACATTCTACAATAAAGATTAATACACCAAACAAATCATTTACTGTAATGGGCTAAGTATTGCATGCAGTTTAACATTTGTGTTTCTTATTTGGATGAGCGGTTGTTTAATAGTGCGAGGCAAATTTCAGATGGCTTGTGAGGACTCAAATGGTCTCGACTCCCCCTTGTGGCTGACTGAAAGGCATGCTGCAAGTTGTAAGCATGGGCACAAATGGCCATTACCTACAGTAATTCATGTGCTTAAATTGATACATTTTTCACTGGAGCAAACAAGGGGTCCATCACCATGTCAATTTACACAAGGTTGTACAAATAGTAACCTATTCCAGACGTGTCAATGTGAACAGTGCATTTATTTTTATAAAACAGGTCAATTTCCCCATTACAATGAAAGGCCATTCACCTGAACTATCCAGAGACCAGATCGCAATTTGATTTATATACAGTTCTTTGGGATGTATAGGAGCAAACCAGTTTCTTTTTTTGCTCCTCTTGCGAAGTTAAGCTCATTCCACTAAGGCACAGTACAGGTGAAGGGCCACCTAAGGACTGGGCTCTGGTCCAATGCTGGTCTTCCTTTAGGCCAGGGCAGGGAAGTCCTCTGGGTCATCAGGGTTTGGTGCCTGTCCCTGCTGGACCCGGGCCTGGGGAGAATCAGAGTCAACTTAGTGGGATGCCTGCATCAAGACGTGGGTAAAGAACAAAGCCCAACAGGCAATTGTAGTGAAATTCACTCTAGCATGAGGCACAAGCAGAAAAAGGCACCAGGGATTAAAGAAAACCAGTGCACTTTGCTGCCCTCTACTGTGGTTTGAAGCCCTTCATGTATAGCCAACAGGACCCATTCAGTCCAGACATACTTTTTCAGGAGGCTTCTGAGGAGAAATGGTCTCTGGCCGTGTGGCTGGGCCACCTCGTCCACGCCCCCCTCTTCCTCTGGTCCCCCGTGAGGGTCGTCCAAGGCTGCCAAAGTCAATCTTCAGTTTAGCCGTGATGTCATTGGCGGGGCGACGGAGAGATGCAGCGTCATCCTCCTCCACAACCTCCTCAACTTGCTCCTGTGGATTCACAGAACCAAGACGCATAAGCACAATCAGCAGGCAATGCAAACAAAAACGGTGTTATAGAAATCAGTTCGCTGTGATTAAGATTGTAAAACTACCAGTAAATTTACCAAAGGTACTTGAATTTTGGTAATTAAATAGGTAATCTATGGTAACTTATACTTAAACATTTGTTTACACATTCATATAAAAAAATTAATTAATTAATTTCTTCATCTTTATACCCATGTCCATGAGTTTCTAGTGGATTCTTTTTCAATTAAGTCTTCAAGCATTTACTTCCATTACAACTGCAACCAGTTTTCACCAAAACATTTACAAGGACATTATAAAATAAATATAAGTGTGTAAAAATAAAGGATTTCATGCCGAAACCCTCATATTAAACAAGCGGTGTGGTATTCACTAATTTCATTGGTTATATTTAGGATCATGTTCTACAGCATTGTCATTCTATTTATTTAAAAAATATATTTAAGTTCCCAAATTCTGGTAGTATTTTTTTTACTGGTAATATACACTCTTCCTTTTGCAACCTTAGCTGTAATTCAATGAGGTGTACCGAACAGGAACAAGCAGTGACTAAGCAGCCTGTATTTGCAGCATTGGTCCAGGATTCCTCACCTCAACCTGTTTCTTGGACTTGTGGATGACTACCGAGTCAGAGGGCACAATGGTATCAGCCTTGCGCAGATTGAACTCCTTCTTGGGCCGGTTCTGTTCCTGCAGGGCTTTCCACTCATCCAGAGACATCTCCACAGCAACCTCCACCGCTGCTTCCCCCTCACCTTCAGTCTCAGGGGCGCTGCAGAGAAGCAATGGGTTACTATGGCATTGGAAAATGTAACACTCCAAAACTAATTCTATAACTAGAGTAAATTGTGAGTATTTAAAATGGTAATGTCAGAGTTCTGAGTATGTACAGCCTGGTCTAAAATATCTAGTGAGTATTGCAGAAATAATTAGGCTATACATGTATACTGTTTGCACGTCTCAGATTAAATAGTGGTGCTGCGCTGGTCAAACATTTGGCTCACTCACAGATTTGCACCAGTCTCTGCCACCTCATCGCCGTCACCTCCCTCCTCAGTGGGAGCCCCATCAGCCACTGCACTAAAAAAGCATCAGTATTACTATGGTAACAATCACGCAAGACAATTTTCTTAGATGACGAACACTTGTCGAGATGCGCTGGTTGTTCAACTCAATGAGGGCTTTTTTTTAATTCAATCAAAAAGGAGTACATTGGCTTGAATTTATATTTTTTCTAGATACAAGTCACAACTTTGCTCTTGTTCCATCCTTCCAAATCTCATCTTGTTGACTACTATTGGAAGTGTGGGGAACTTCAGTATCTGATTATGTGTTTGAATGGGAGCACTGGCTGTTAATGCTTGCATTTGATAAGGTCAGAGTCTAAATCACGTTCCCTCTGAAGGGCATTCTTATTTTAGTATTTTTCCGTTTAAGTAGCCTATGTGGCAACTTATGCTAGCTAGCATGTTGCAAGTCAGAAACATTTTCAGAAAACCTCTGGACCTCCACCCATGTGAAATATTTGATTGGTGGCAACAGGTCACTAGCATCCACTAGACCAGGAGTTGCATTGACCCTTTTTGCACTAACTCTTGACTCATCGGTTTATCATCTATCCTGTTGCCTAGTCACTTTATCCCTACCTATATGTACACATCTACCTCGTACCCCTGCATATCGAATCGGTACTGGTACACAGTTATCGTTATACATCATGCATTTATTCCTGGTGTTAATTGTATTTTTTTTTGGAAGGGCCTGTAAGTAAGCATTTCACTGTTAATCTACACCTGTAGTTAACGAAGCTTGTGACAATTTGATTGAAATTCCTCACATGCACCAACAGTCCTAGTGTGCATACTCACCTTATGTGGTCCCTCATGGATCCCCAGTTACGTGGACCACTGCCCCCCCGCTTCTCCTCCGGCCGCACACCACTGCAACAGGCAAATGCAAATGTCACCAACCTCTACTTCATGTCAAAATTGATTTAAGGGTAATGTGAGGAGTATTGTTCTTACGTCCTATCACTGCCACTGTGGCGCTCAAACTCCCTCTTGCCTCTCTGGTCAAAGCCATCTGTGGATCTTAAGTTGCCGCCGCGCATTCCTCTTCCACGGCCTCCACCTCGGCCCCTTCCGGCACGCTCACCCTGATCCACAGGCCTGTTGGGGTAGAGTGAGTAGTTAGTTATTACAGTCCTTGTGGTCAGAGTCAAAACACATTCTCTAGCCCCCAACGATAGGCCTTTGTTCTATCCTAGCTGATATGAGAAGACTAGAATGGGGGTAAGAAGCATGACTGCTCCACCAAGGGTGCTGGTGGGCCAGGTGGAGTTTCAACTTGAATACAACTATCCATTCTCAGATCTGCAAAGCGGGGTCAGCATAGAAAATAAACATGGGAATTATTGAATAGCCAGTGTCCATTTAATATGTGAAACCAGAAAAATGCCCACCTCTAGTGTATAACTACCTTTCAATAGAGTATCCGAGGGGTGCTGCACTGTCGTTCTGCCTTTGATCACGGAAGCCAACTCGTCGCTCCTCTACATGGCCAGGTGCACCTCGAGGATATTTCGGACCTGCACATAAAATTAAAGCTTATTGTAGATGACAAATTATGCAAGCAGCACCACACACACACACAAAACAAGCTAGAATGTAAACAAGAACTAGCTAGCAAACAACAAAATATACATCTTAGGTATTATCCCCGAGGCCACAGCTTGCTTGTTTCTACCGTTTAACTGGTAGCTATACTGAACAAAAATAAACAATTTCAAAGATTTTACTAAGTTACAGTTCATGTACCGAAACCTGTCAATTTAAACAAATTCTTTAGGCCCTAATCTATGAATTTCACATGACTGGGCAGGGGTGCAGCCATGGCTGGGAATAGGCCCATCCACTTGGCAGCCCAGCCCACCCAATAAGAATGAGTTTCTCCACAAAAGGGCTTTATTACACACAGAAATACTCCTCAGCACCCTACCCCACAGGTTTAGGAGCCGGATATGGAGGCGGTTGTGAGGCCAGTTAGACATACTGCCAAGTTCTCTAAAATGATGTTGGAGGCAGCTTATGGTAGAGAAATTAGCATTCAATTCTCTGACAACAGCCCGGTTGGCCATGCCTGCAGTCAGCATGCCAATTGCACTCCCTCAACTTGAGACATCTTTGGCATTGTGACAAATCAGCACATTTTAAATAGGTATTTTGTCCACAGCACAAGGTGCACCTGTGTAATGATCATGCTGTTTAATCAGCTTCTTGATATGCCACACCTGTCAGGTGGATGGATTATTTTGGCAAAGGAGAAATTCCCACTAACTGGGATGTAAACAAAGCTGTGCACAACATTTGTGCATACGGAAAGTGTTGTTTTTTCAGCTCATGTCACTTCAACACTACATGTTGCGTTTATATTTTTGTTCAGTGTAAAAGTTACAATTAGACATGGCTAACGTGTACAGTTGTCTTGTGACCTAAATCCAGGTTTTAGCTATCGTTAGCTAGCTGGCTAGTGTGGCAAGCCTCCTAGCTAACTAGGTGGATACTTTCAAAGGCCTGTTATGTAACGATAGCTAGCTAAACTCAACTAGCTTGTATGTGATCGATTTAGCGGCAGCCTACTTGATAGTTAACTAAATTGTTAGTAATTTCACGAAAGCAACACTGATTCAAGTAAAATTAACTAGCTAGAACAAACCCCATGTTGCACCGAATTTAACTGCTGACTAGCTAGTAGTTAACTACCCCAAAGCAGATAAAAACAGAACGTCCACAATCCTACAGAGTTCCATAACACATACATAGAACACGCGAAGGACAGACAATAAGAGCGTATCTTTATTATTAGTGTGTCATGTGTAGTTAGCAAGCAAAGTATGTCACGCTGCAATTGTTGAAGTTCAGCTACCTACACATTCAATACACCCGACACGTGCTGTCAATCTTCACATCAAGAACGTGTCCAACCTTTAGCTAGCTCGGCCTTCACCCATCGCATCGACTTACCATGTAAACTTTTAACTTCTGCATTGTCGCCTTCCCCAGCACTCAAGGGAGTTCTCCTGTCCTTTTGGGAGTCCTTCTTAATAGGTTTATCTGTAGTAGCAGGTTTTTTTGGCTCATCTTTTTTCTTTTTCTTCTGCTTCTCCACCTGAGCCTCGCGAATGATGTCGAACGGGTCGGCCTCGTCGTCTAAAAGCTGACCAAAGCGGTTTGTAACAGCGCACCCAAAACCAGCACTTTCGGTGTCGGTGGGCTCTTCAACTATACCCTTCATGTTGAGAATGTAGTTTTAAAAACTCAACTGGAAAACAACCTGGATTACACCGCTAAATCTATTGACGTTTTTTACGAGCCGAAAGACTCAAGAACAAACATATTGACCTGTGATTAAACACGACTATTCGCCCTGGCTAAAATTCAGACTAACTCGCTAGCAGGCTACAGCATTAGAGCATGCGGTTTGTCCAAAATGGCGGATAATTTATATTCGACCCACCCATAATATTACAATATTATTCATTAGGTTTTAAAGGGACACACCACTTTAAAATCGTCATCGCCGTACAATATTTATTGGGCGCGTTCGAGCGGATCACTGTTGTCAAGTTGGTAACTTCGCTGGTCACCACCTTTCAATGTGTGTTGCATTATGTGGATAAAAATGTCGACTGCATTAACTTTACAACAACCATGTAAAAGTTTCAACTGCAGTTGACTGCAATTTTTTTGCAGTTGCTCCTCACCTTCTGCAACTTGCAGCCATCACCTGCATTGTGGGAAGCACTAATTGTCAACCAATCCTTGGTGTTTTTGTTTGACCCACGCGAATGGGACCAAAGACATGACTGAAAGAGGAAGCAACTTTGCCACGATTCATATGTATACAGTGGATGTACAAATTAATTTGATATTTGAGGCTCTCTCTCCCCAATTGATAGTACAATGTACACACATATTTACAGTTTGTGAGACATGTTAAATTCGACATTACAAAGAAACACTTTTATAAACAATGGCAACACTGCCATGTTGCACTGTGCCTTGCAGTTGGAAAATCAAATCCGACTTTCGGCTGTTGCAGATGCAACTCCTCCGAATTCATTCCTCGATTTTCGTCTGCAGACAGTTGCTTCAGCCTTACCCACTCAAACAAGCCCATTATCTCCACACCATATCTGTTTCTATAGCCAAAAAGGCTGCTTTAACACAGGCAGCCCAATTCCGATCTTTTTTCCACTAATAGGTATTTTGACCAATCACACCAGATCGTTTCACCGCAGATCTTTTTCAGAGCTGATCTGATTGGTCAAAACCAATAAGTGAAAAAAGATCAGAATTGGACTGCCTGTGTAAACGTAGCCAAAGATAGTCCAAACAAAATGAGCCCCCCAATAATTTTACAATATTATTAATTAGGTGTTAAAAGAGGTGTTGAGGTATATTCATGAGGTGTTGACCACTTTTTGACATCATATATTCTGTATCTCCAGCACCTTCCATACAGTGCCAGTGTGTGAAAATGTCGAATTTTGGTCTACTATTAATTACAAATATTGATTTAATCATTTCAAAAGTAAATTCAAATAATTAAATATTTCCCTTGGCTTAACCAGGTGGAGAGATCTGATCTTTTGCACAGCGCGGCTGCAAAATAGATACCTGTTTTCATCATGCCCCTAAAGCGTCAGAAAATAACATACCAGTATTGCTCATAGCAAATGGGATCAAACGGTTCTCATCATTAGTTGTGATAACTTTTGATCTCAGGCAGCTGTGTGCCTGAAGCTGGATATTTTTCGACCAACCTTTTCTTGCCGATACTTCGTTCTCGACTTGGAAGAAAGTGGTGACTTCTAAACTTCCATCGCTAGTTGCAGGTGGAACGTTTGAATTTACAAAATGCTCCTTTATCTAAAGATTCAATATGTAACTTTTTGGGCGTCCCGACCAAATTCACATAGAAAAAGTGAGTTATAGATATGTCATTCTCATTGAAAGCAAACCTAATAAGCGGTAGATATGTTCTATGTGCGCTATTTCTACGCTTCCCGTTCTTAGGCGTAGTTTTTGCGTCTTTTACTTTAGCTTTTGTACACCAGCTTCAAACAGCTGAAAATACAATATATTTGGTTATTGAAAAGCTAGTTCACAGCGGTTTAGATGGTCCAATGATTCTCTACACTATACATTGCTTGTTTTGTCACAAACTGAAATTAGGCGAACTATTAGAATTTTCGCAACCAGGAAATAACAGAGATTTCAGCATATTGCACCTTCAATAATAATTTAAAAAATTGTTCCGTGAAATAAGACAACGTATATGCCACTATTTGAGTATCTTTGTGGGCCGCTCTAGTGTAATTGGTGTTTCCATCAGGAGCGTGACACTAAAGACTTGATTATGGTGAGCAGAATCAACAACCTCTGTCTGCATCATTCAAGACTGTTTCTTTGTGAGGTGTTAAAGTTCACAGTTAGCCATTGCCAGCTGAAAAGTACCCAGGGCCTTGCCTTGGCTCCAATTTAGAGCAGGTCCGCCGGAGCCATGGCCCAGTGAGACACGGTGCCGGCCCGTGTAGATGGAAACAGACACGTTTGAGCCTTTTGGGTAAAACACTGGGGTAAATCCTTGAAATGCAGCATAACTTGGAGCTAAGGCAAGGCTCTGGGTACTTTTCAGCCTGCATTTACATATGGCTAACTGTGAACTTTAAAAACACCTCACAAAGCAACAGTCTTGAATGATGGAGAAGTTGTTGATTCTGCTCATCACAAGTCTTCAGTGTCACACAGACCTTACATTAACATAAAACACTGGCAGCCCACTGGTCTCATTGGAAAAGCACTAAGTGCTGGTAGTATGTTCAGATCACATGAAGCATGCGCACACAACGTAAATACGAGACGCAGCACATATACTCACCAAGCTCACATTTACATGGTTTTGAGCATGCTTCAGGTAATAGAAATCTGACCACACAACCAGCGCTTTGAAAAGTTGGTTAATAATACTTTCCAGTGGATATATTGTTTCAAATTTCTGCCCACATAAGGACCAATCACACAGGTAACCAGTAGAGTTGGTTCAAATGTAATTTTGTTAAACATTCCAGCTTGTAGAGGACCATTTCCTGAATTAAACACAAAGATATTCCAGACGTCGTGGATTTAGAAATTCACGTGTCTGGTCCCTGGGCGAATCACTCTGTGACCACTCATATTCCATTTCAATCTTTAGTCTGGTCATGGCCAGCGCTGAAATTACTTGCCTATTACGCCAATTTATACTTGATCTGGCAATGTGGTCCAGATGCTCTGTACGGAGGGTGTGGCACAATTGCTACGACTCTGGAGGTTTGCGGAGGCCAAATCGAGCTCCGTACTGCATCGCCATGCGGCTCCCAAATTTTGTAACAATGCGGAGGGCTCCATATAGCTCCGCATTGATATGATTGGTTGATGGTAGGTTGGGGCATGAGGTCCTGTATAAACACAAACTCACTTCCTTGACATCTTCCTTCACAACAGCTCCGCGAACCGCAAGAAGTATGAATGCCTTGACTTCGCAGAGGCCGTATCACAAGTAAATGCTGTACGGCCACTGCAGAAGTCGGATTGACCATGCAGAACCTTCAAGGCAGGGGTGTCGAAGTCATTCCATGGAGGGCCTAATGTCTGCTGGTTTTTGGCTTTTCCTTTCAATTAAGACCTATACAACCAGGGGAGGGGAGTTAGTTACTAATCAGTGACCTTAATTAATCAATCAGGTACAAGGGAGGAGCGAAAACCCGCAGACACTCGGCCCTCCGTGGGGGCCAATTAAAACTTGTAAGGAAGGTATTGACTTTTCCCCTTGATTCAATAAATATTTCACCAAATATGTATTATCTTCTCTCAGTCCAGACGACAAAGAGCCTATACATTGAAGACAAAACAACTACATCTACACTGAACAAAAATTGTTGGTCCCATGTTTCATGAGCTGAAATAAAACATCCAAGAAATGTTCCATACGCACAAATAGCTCAAATTGTGTGCACAAATTTGTTTACATCCCTGTTAGTGCGCATTTCTTTGCCAAGATAATCAATCCACCTGACAGGTGTGGCATATCAAGAAGCTGATTAAACAGCATGATCATTACACAGGTGCACCTTGTGCTGGGGACAATAAAAGGCCACTCTAAAATGTGCAGTTTTGTCACAACACAATGCCACAGATGTCTCAAGTTGAGGGAGCGTGCAATTGGCATGCTGACTGCAGGAATGTCCACCAGAGCTGTTGCCATATAATTTAATGTACATTGTTCTACCATAAGCCGCCTCCAACATCGTTTTTGAGAACGGCCTCACAACCGCAGACCACGTGTATGGTGTTGTGTATGCGAGCGGTTTGCTGATGTCAACGTTGTGAACAGAGTGCCCCATGGTGGCGGTGGGATTATGGTATGGGCAGGCATATGCTACGGACAACGAACATAATTGCATTTTATCGATGGCAATTTGAATGCACATTGCCGTGACGAGATACTGAGGCCCATTGTGAGGCCATTTAAAAAAAAGGTATCTGTGACCAGTCATGTGAAATTCATAGATTAGGGCCTAATTAATTTATTTCAATTGACTGCTTTCCTGTAACTCAGTCAAATCTTTGAAATTGTTGCGTTTATATTTTTGTTCAGTATACATCCCGACAGTCTAGAGCAGAATTGTCTATTGTGCCTTTAATAGTATAATCTCTCCATCAAATGAAACTGAACATCTATGAAGTAAGCTCATCCTATTATACAGAGTGATCGTGTGAGCGGTTTTCTTCAGCGTGATCCTGTACATTCTTTCCAATTACGGGCACACGCATAGCCATTCCTACATTTGTTGCACACAAACGCTTTCACACCAGTGTGCACACGCTGGTGAGATACTAAATGACTTGTCTGGGAGAATCTCTTGCCATATTCATCACAAGCATATGGTCTCTCCCGTGTGAGTGCGCATGTGGTTTACAAGAGAAGACTTAACAGTGAAACCTTTTCCACAAATGCGACAGTTGAATGGTCTCTCGCCTGTGTGACTGCGCATGTGGATTTCAAATGTAGCCTTCATCGTGAAACTTTCACCACAAATATGGCAGTTGAATGTTTTGTGTGAGTGCGTATGTGCTGATTCAACACAGATTTGTGATCGAAGCCTTTACCACAGTGGCTGCAGACATGACTTTGAACGAAGTTAAGGTGGCAAAGTGAATCATCTTGTGTTTCTTGACGTAGGCATGCGAGGTAAAGCCTTCCCCACATATATTACACGTGTAAGGCTTTTCGCCAGTGTGACTGCGCTGACCTATCTTAAGGGTTGTTAATTGGGTGAAACCTTTACAAGTAGTACAACGTACAATTTCTGCCCTGTGTGAGAAAGCTTGTGTCTTGAGATTACCTGGGTTACTGAACTTTTTAACCACATATATTACAGGCAAAAGGTTGTTCACCAATATGTACGAACATATGCCACATGAATTACAGTCCAGTATGCATGGTTTTATGTCTTTCAAAAGAGTGTGCGAGATGGAAACGCTTGCCGCATACGTCACAGACAAACGGTTTCTCTCCGGTATGGGCAAACGCATGTGCTTTGAGCTGGCTTGCACGACAGTAACTCTTGCCGCATAAACCACAGACAAAAGGTGTCTGTCCAGTTTGTAAAGTCATATGATCTTTGAGACAGGTTGAAAGACGGAAACGTTTGCCACATACATCACAGCGATAAGCCCTTGCTGTATGAGTTGCACTCTGATGACTGGATCAGGATGAAGGTGAAACGAAAAGCTTGCCAAAGGTTTCACAGCAATACTTCTCCTCGGAGTGCTCTGCTTTATGAAGATCCCATTGATACCATGACTGAAAGGTCTTAGAACACAGAGAGCAGCTGTTTGCCCTTTCCGGGTGATCACTGTAGTTGTGCCTTTTTAGCGCACGGTCGCCACAGAATGTTTTTTCACGTTGTGCAGGTGTGCCGAGTTGGGTTAAGCTCTCTGTGTTTGACCAAACTACTTCTCAATGCAAACATCTTCCCACAATCTGCGCATTTGAAGGTCTTCTCTTTAGAATGCACCACCAAGAGGTGATTACTACACCCCGTCTTTGTACTAAAACCTTTCCCACACTGCGGGCAGCTAAAGGGTTTGATGTGAGAATTAAGATGGGCTTTAAGCATACATCTCCAATTGAAACACTTTCCACAAAAGTCGCAAATGAAGGGCTTCTTCACTGCTCCGGTGGCAGCGCTTCTATCCGAACTTTGGGCTGTATTTAAAGAATCACCATTCTGGACATTTTCTCCAATCCTGCCTGTGTTTGGCTCTGTGTTTGAGGGATGGCCGTCTTGTTTCTCTGGGTCTGACACAGGTGAGGTCATTTGCAACCACATCTGCAACAGAGAGGGACATTGTGGTTGTTGAGGCGTTAATGTAAAACAAACTTCTACATTACATAGTCTCCTGAGTGGCGCAGTGGTCTAAGGCACTGCATCGCAGTGCTAACTGTGTCACTAGAGATCCTGGTTCGAATCCAGGCTCTGTCGCAGCCGGCCGCGACCGGGAGACTCATGGGCGGCGCACAATTGGCCCAGCGTCGTCCAGGGTAGGGGAGGGAATGGCCGGCAGGGATGTAGCTCAGTTGATAGAGCATGGCGTTTGCAACGCCAGGGTTGTGGGTTCGATTCCCACAGGGGGTATAAAAAAATATATATATGTAAGTCGCTCTGGATAAGAGCGTCTGCTAAATGACTAAAATGTAAATGTAATGAGATTGTGGATATTAATAAATAATTTAAACAGCAAACAATGTACCAATCCTAAAAAAAGTATTTCTTAACAGTCTAATGGTGGAATTTTTCCCAATAAATGCATAGGAACACTAATTTTAAATGGTGTTTTGACTGATTGTCCAGAGTGTCCTTACTCAATCATAAAAACTCATTCAAAAGTTAACTAAATGGTAGTGGTGCCATGATACCATTAGCTGACTGATTCAAGTACAATGTTTTAATAAAATGTCTGATCGACTTTATCGTGTCCACCCGTATTCAGTGTAGTCTTGCCCACATCTCCAGTATCTTCTCTTCCACACTGGATATTTTCTCCATTCCTGCCTGAGTTTGGCTCAGTGTTTCTCTGGTCATGGAGTAAAAGTCATCCTCCTCTTGATGACCACTCTCAGAGAGAGGGTCAGAGCAGTAGTTGTGGAAATGTATGTGTATCCAATAAGACATGCATCAAAAACACCACATAAAAATATTCCACATTATAAATCAGCTAGCTAAGAATTTAACTCCAGTGTATGATACAATGAACTGATTGAATAATGCATTTGCTTTTTAGACATAGATATGGCAAGAAATCAGCCTAGTATTGACATCATACAAATACACATGTGCACTGTTTATGTTGTTATCATTATCTGGTCAGGTAGCTAGCTAAGTGGGGAGTACAAATTGTACTAGTCTAGAACACTTGGTGAATTAACTACATTACCGTTAGCATACTTCAGCTCACACACACCTTTAATGACCAATGTAAGTGGACACTTTTATTCTCTGATATAGCCTATGGGTGTGTACCTCTTGGTGCTCCTTCCTCGGTCCCTCTTGACACTCCACTGGGCGCTTATGCCTGTGGAAATCTTCTCTCTTTTGACCATAATCACGTTCATTAACATCACCATTTTTCCCAACGATGTTTTCCCAAACATCTTCATGAATTATGAAAATTGTATCTGAAAGATTAAAATAGGAAGTTAGAGCAACCTAGCAGGTTTCAACTGATGTTCAGGTAGCTAACTAGCTAGGTGGGCTAACGACAGTAGTCACAGATTAAAGGGGTTCAGTAACAGTTCACGTTAACTAGGTAGCTGGTAAAAGTTTGTAGCGATCTACAGTTTGCTAGCTAGCCACGTTTTCAACAGCAAACTCGTTTCCCCCCCAATAGCAACCGACTAAATGTGTACTCACCGTCTTGGTTTTGTTCACCAGTTTAAGTTTACTCTTCAGCAAACTACTTTCCTCATTCTGCTGAACGGCATAACAGCAGCGGAGGAGTTTTCCCATCTCCGCAACTGACGCTGCAACTAATACCTCGACAATAGTGGATAATTGTTGATCAACATTGCTGCAAGCGAAAACAATTTCATTTATGAAATCATGCTTCTCAAAAAGTACTGAATACAATTATAATTTAGACTACTGCTAAGTACCAATGCGAGGAAATCTTCCTTGACATTTCTCTGGAAATTACGTTTCCTCTGTGTTACACTTCAAAGCTTCCACTGATGTTTTGGCCTAATGTCCCAAGTCAATGACTCCAGTTGACTTCAGCATGTCTGCGACTGTAGGCTTAGATAAGATACCTACAATTTAACTGAGGGAACACTACACAAACATGAGTGTAACATGAGTGTTTTTCTATTCGTTTTTATTTCTATTAGTTTTAAGATTTTTATTTGAAATTCAGTTTCAGTTAGTTTTCAGATCTGATTTACTCGTTTTAAGTATAAGTTGTAAAAAAAACATTTATCTTTCCTTTTTATATTTAGTTTCGGTCGTAGTTTTAGTGTTAGGGACTGTCACGTTCGTTTAAGGACGGGTCAGACCAAGGCGCAGCGTGAAATGCGTACATGTTTATTACAATGATAAACACACGACAAAACAACAAAACGAAACGTGAAGTCCTAAGGCTGAACACTAAACAAGCCTCAACACGGAACAAGATCCCACAACCCATAATTGCCAATAGGCTGCCTAAGTATGCTCCCCAATCAGAGAAAACGAGCGACAGCTGCCTCTGATTGGGAAACACACCCGGCCAAACATAGAACTACAAAACCTAGATCACAAACATAGAAAATACAACATAGAATATCCACACCCTGACTCAACATACAAGAGTCCCCTGAGTCAGGGCGTGACAGGGACAGAAAGTAGCCTATGCGTCCATTTATGTGTTATATTGTTTTTTGGGATGTCACTTCTTGCCACAGTGGGGAAGTAATACATAAACTGATGGGTTAGGGTCATAGGTTAGGTTAGGTCATAAAGCTAGACTCAGCAAGAGGATGTAGATGCACGAAGTAAATAGTAGTAGGGTCAATTTCCGCAACAACCAAGAGCGTTGTAGCGCGACGCTAAACTTCTCAGCTGTTTTGGTCCCAGTAGCTACGACGTTGTAGCAGCATGAAGCGCACCCGTGCACATACGCTGCACTGAAAAAAAATATACAATGTTGATTGAACTTACAATTGTAAGGCAACCAGCATATGTTCTCAAGTTGAACTGTAGTGAACTAAGGAGGTTCCTTGATGAACCCCACCTCCTATGGGGTTCTTGGAATAACCGCTGGGGGCAATTTTCAGTGCCAAGAACCCTAAGGTTCTTCGAAGAACTTTGAGGATCTTAGAATAACCCTTGCTGAACCCCTAATTTTTAGATTGTGGCACTGAAAATGGCCCCCAAAAGGTTCTTCCAAGAACCCCATAAGAGGTGGTGTTCATCGAGGAACCTCCTTAGTTGGTGGGGGTTCTTGCAGGAACCTAACTGCCCAACTGAAACATTTGAATGTGAAAGGACAGCAAGTGCAGAAACTTAACTGAAAAATGTAAAGATCTCCTCAATATAAGGTAAGGTTTGTCCCTTGTATGATCTAAATTGATATTGTTTTATGATGATACCATCAATCTTTTTGTATTTGTGCAAATCTTTCTGTTATGATGAGTTTCTCTGGCATCAAGTAATTCAGTATGCAAGAAGATACTTAAACACTTACATGGAGAGTTGATGCACCACAATAACATCACCCTATATGTATCGTCTTGCACCCTAGTCAGGATATTCCATCACATACTCCTTCTAAGATTAGCACCAGTGGCCCCCCAGCTATCTTGGCATGCATACCTTCTGGCACCCACCAGTGACAGAAATAAATACATGGAATGTCCTCATCCTCCAAATCATATGCAGCTCACAATATCAAACATGAACTAATCCTGTATAAAAGACGTAATATCAATCCCCCATTTTCATTATTTTTCTGTTGTAAGTAAAATTCCACAGATCTAACATTATTTAAACCAAACAAACCAAACATACAAATTAATTACTAACCTCATGACATCATCCCAGAAAATACATTGATTCATGACAATTTCTAAGTTACATCTCTAGCTGTAATCACTAATCCCATCCTGTATTTCCAATAGCTTTAGTTAAATTCCCAAAACCTTCCTATTCTGATAGCAAGTATGTACAACATGCATCTCCCCCTATAATCGCATACATTCCCCCTTTATCTACTGTAATAGCATCCAATGCTATGTGATTATCAATTGCATATTGTCCAATGAGTGACATTTCATACCCAATCGCTTGAAAACCCATGACTGTTAATAGGTACCATGTTCAACTCTGTTCAACCCTGACTCTGTTCCATAATATGCCTGAAGAGAGATACTTTCAGTCACTGATAAATCAACACAGCCTTGGATTAGGCAGGAATGAGGAATTCAACCCAAGGTCAGATCAGATGAAAATAGCATAAACATTCCTATGTCACACACACCAAACCCCATGATAGGAACCAATTAAGTTCTTTCCTAGCAACAGAGACATGTACCACTCTAAACATCCACATCAATCCCCCCTCTTTGGGAATAAATAGTCCCATATCAATACCTCAAAATACTTCAAATGTATATAGTGACTAATATGTGAATACGGTAACCTAATACTCAACATGTTCATGATATCAGGCACAATTCTTGCATTAATTTATATGTTTCAAACAGTACGATTCAAAAGTTTCTACTCGAAATAAATCATATAAGTGTATCTTAACACATAAAAATAATGTATCGCTGTTTTAACCATAATATCTATTTAAGATAGTTATCTCGCAATTGTACAAGCAATACCAGACATGCTAAAAATAGTTTCAACATCTTTAGTTACTAATATATACTAATGATTTACTTAAATCACTCAGTCATCTTATAAATCATAACCAAAACCAAATTACTTATCTCAACCAAATTAAGAAGGACAATTCTTAGTGATTCACATTGGTCCTATCACTCAAAATTAAAACCCTCAACTTTATCACGCATTACAACTGTCAGAATGTAAACTTATATTAACATACAGTATAAATATCCATAATTCTAGTATGACCTTCCTCATCCTGAGAATAACTACAGATCATTATCTCAATGCATTCTTAGTACTATTAATTTAGCAGTGTATATACCTCCTACATCAACCTCATTCCCAAATTCCCAAATGTAGATAAATCCAAATGTATTATCGACACAGATGACCAACCCCTTTCTTCCCCGACACTCAATCTTCTGTTGTCTCTTCATTATGTTCTTCAGACAGCTTCATAGTTCAAAATGAATTGCCCATGTCAATGTCCCAACTTCAGTGTCTCATCCGAGTCACCACCATCTCTACACCCCATTGTGTCTTGTCCATTTGCCAACCAGTATACCAACAACATGATAAATGTTGCATTTGAACAGATTTCTCTTCATCCTCACTCCTTGTGGACTCCTGTCCCACTCCCGAGAAAAAAGGCATGAGAGAAAAGCAGTTGATAGCTTCGATTGGCTGTTGTAGACCGGTTGCAGGTAGAAGTGGTGCTGTACAGGAACGTCTTCAACGCCTCTGATGCTCATCTTCAGCCAGTTTAGAGGGTTTCTTTTTAGGTTCACACCATTCTAGGCCGAATTATCCCTGCTATGCATCAAGTCACCATCTGTATTTACCTCAAGAGAAGACAGAACATAACAGTTTAGTTGAGTTCATTTCTAATCCAAGAAATCCATATAAGCATTGACTATATGACAAATTATTATGTTTTACCAATTATTTTTAATACCAATTTCTAATATACTCCCCTTATCACCCTATCAACTACACCGCAGATTCACAGGATTGGGAAGTTAGACCTCAATTTCTGTTAGGGAAACCCTCCACAGTCAGAGAAATTAATGGTGTGTAGTCCCCTGTAGCTCAGTTGGTAGAGCATGGCGCTTGCAACGCCAGGGTTGTGGGTTCGTTTCCCACGGGGGGGCAGTATGAAAATGTATGCACTCACTAACTGTAAGTCGCTCTGGATAAGAGTGTCTGCTAAATGACTAAAATGTAAATGTAAAAGTCAGGTGATTCTTGAACTTCTGGAAGATCTTGAAGTTCTTGGATGTCCTTGGAGGTCTGTCCCTCCGCCGAGGGAATCAGCCATATCACGTAGCTCATCAGTAGCCTTCCCATTGCCATCGTCTCCCATCACCTGATTCTGGTCAGCTCCAGCTCCCTCATCTCTAGGTCGTCGGTTTCCTCGTAGTACTCTGTTGTAGTGGTTTAGATGATACCAGGTCGATCTCCCCTTTATCCATACATCCGTTGGTGTAGCCTGGGTGACAATGTATGGTCCCTTTGGCTCTGGACCTTCTTCCGTCACTAGGGTCTCGGGCTCAGGCAGAATTTTCTCAATTTATCAACATCATTCTGTGTAGTGTGTCCTTCTGGCAGCATACCAATAGGGAAGCTAAGAGTCACTGCTGCAAAGACACACAGACACAAAAAAAAACTATGCTCCGCAGTGGCGTTGCCATCTTCCTCCTCTGGGTTGGGACACTCCTACAGTGGGACACATGGATGCAGGTATCTCTCTCTGCTACTTTCCCCTCCATCGAGGTAGCCAGCAACA